ATTTTACCTTACTAATTGGATAAGCAACTGGGAAAAAAAGCCAAAGCAGCAGACGAACGAAAGGTGCCACTGTCGCTCCAACTGTCCAAGAATATAGGCAGAGACTAGACGAGACGAGAAACCAAAAAAAGGAATCAACTAAGTTAGCAATGAGAACACACACAATTATATTACTCCAGATCAAGTAAACCATGTCCCACAAACCTCCATTGCTAAAGAGTTGCCAATCAAGAGTGTACAAAGCAAAAGATGTTGATTTTTCACAACTGGAAGAATTCTAGCTGCAAAAGAAAAACAAAAAAAGAGTACTAAATTCCTGATTTAAGCACAAATCTAAACACAGAAACCATTCTTGAGCTCTTGATTTAAGTTCAAAAATGTTCCTCCTTTCTAATTTAGTTATCAAGAAAACTACATAGATTTCACCACTAAACCAATCTAAAGTACCCAAACACGAGACAAAGAAAGGGAACAAACTTTGAAGAATTGCTCAAAAACGAAACAATAATAGATAAATCAATAAAAAATTACAAAAAATAGATGAAATAATCAATAAAAGCATGTTTGATAGCTGTAGTGTCGCAGGGGAGCTGGAGGAGGGAATGACGAAGAAGATCGGAAGGGTAGGCGGTGGAGACGGCGTTGGCGGCTGCAGATCGACGGCACGCTATTCCGAAACGACAAAGCTGTGGTGGGGTGTCGAATGTGGCGGTGTGCGACGACAGAATAGATGGTGGTGTGCGGTGAGACGATCGAAGCGGTGGATCGCAGCAGAGGGATGAAGCTGCGATGGACGGAGACGGCGTGGAGCTGCGATCTGATCTGATTTGAGCTAGGGTTGGTTGGATAAATTTAATAAGGCGCGTCCAAAGTTACCCACTTTGGACGCGCTTGATTATTATTCGCGTCCAAAGTACTGAGCTTTGGACGCGAATAATAGGAGGATTTTAATATTGGCGTCCAAAGTACAGAGCTTTGGACGCCAATACTGTTTTAAAATTTTAAAAAAAAAAAAATTATTTATATAGTGACATTTTAATTACAAAAATGCCACCGCATTACACTTTAGGCGTCCAAAGTTCTAATTTTGGACGCGAATTAGTCGATTTTATTGATGTTTTTTGTACTAGTGGTGGCAAGTATGGGCACAAGATTGCAGATTGTTGGTATAATGAGGACAACAATCGTGGAAATCAAGCAAACATTGCTGAAAACACTGCTGAAAAGTCTGGTGAGAGTTCTGAAACTTTACTTTTAGCCAGCGATAGTTTTTCTGCAGATAAGAACATATGGTTCTTGGATACTGGGTGTAGTAACCATATGTGTGGGAAGAAAGAATTGCTTTCCGAACTAGATGAATCAGTCCGGTCTGAAGTAACGTTTGGCAATAAGTCAAAGGTGCCAATTTTGGGAAAAGGTAAAATCTCCATTCAGTTGAAGGATGGTACTCACAATTTTATATCCGATGTGTTCTATGTTCCTGAACTACACCAAAATTTGTTGAGTTTGGGTCAGTTGTCAGAAAAAGGATATAAGATACATATTGCTCAAGGGTGTTGTACCATTGAAGATGCTAAAGGAGTTTTGATTGCAAAGGTAAATATGTCCCAAAACCGACTATTTCCTTTGAAAATTAAGCATACTCTCCTTGATTGCTTTAATTCTGAAGTTTGTGATGATAATTGATTATGGCATATGCGGTTTGGGCATTTCCATTTCTCTGGGTTAAACTATCTTGCGAGAAAGGAACTTGTTTCTGATTTACCTGTTGTAAATGTCCCTAATCGTATCTGTGAGATTTGTGTGATTGGGAAAAAACATAGAGATCCCTTTCCCGTGGGCAAGTCAAGGAGAGCTACAAAACAGTTGGAGATTATTCACTCAGACCTATGTTCGTTGGAGGTTCCCTCACATGGAGGTTGTAAGTACTTTATTACTTTCATTGATGATTTCAGTAGAAAAACATGGGTTTACTTTCTGAAGCAAAAGTCTGAAGCATGTGATGTTTTCAAACAATTTAAGGCTTTTGTTGAAAAGCAGAGTGGTTATGAAATTAAAATCTTGAGAACTGATAGAGGTACAGAATATATTGCCTGTGATGATTTTCTGAAGAAGAAGGGTATTCAACATCAGATGACAGCTAGATACACTCCACAACAAAATGGAGTGGCTGAGAGGAAAAACAGGTCTATCATGGATATGGTAAGGTGCATGTTGAAATCCAAGGATCTGCCTAAACCTTTTTGGGCAGAAGCTGTTGCTTGTGCTGTCTATGTGTTGAATAGGTGTCCAACTAAGAGTGTCCGGGATAAGACACCCGAAGAAGCTTGGAGTGGGAGAAAACCCTCTATCAAATATCTCAAGGTTTTTGGATGTTTGGCATATGCACATGTGCCAGATCCATTGAGAAAAAAGTTGGATGATAAAGGTGAGAAATGCATATTCATTGGTTATAGTGACGCTTCAAAGGCTTATAAACTATACAATCCTGAAACTAAAAAGGTTGTTATAAGTCGTGATGTCAGTTTTGATGAATATGGTGCTTGGGATTGGTTAGCTAAAGATGAAAGTTCAGTTGTTATTCCTGCTGTTGAAAATATTGTTGAAGAGCAACCGATTCCAAATAATGTCCAGTCTCCTTCACAGCCAGAGTCATCAGTTCGGCGATCTCAGCGCGAGCGCCACTTACCAGCTCGCTTGCAAGATTATGTTTTGGGTCATGATAATGACCTGTCTGATGAAGAGATTGTTCAATTTGCTCTCTTTGCAGATTGTGACCCTTTATCCTTTAAGGAGGCTGCTACAAAAACTCATTGGCTTAAGGCGATGGGTGAAGAGATACCATTGAAAAGAATGGTACCCGGGAATTAACAGAATTACCTCCTGAAAAGAAGTCAATTGGAGTCAAGTGGCTTTACAGAACGAAATACAAGTCAGTATATCCAACTTGAAGACGGAGACATTTCTTAAATTGAAGAATGAGATATTGGAATGACCAATATATCCAACTTGGTTTAAAGGAGGCAATGTTATAATAATAATAATAATATTATTATTATTATTATTAGTAATGGTTAAACCAAGTATTAAATTAGTTTGTTATGAATAATGCATGGATGCAGTAGGTGGGTTATGCATGGTATCACTACATAGATTGTGGCTTTAATTGTAGCTTTACATGGAGCATTACTCCTAATCTTTAGCTTTATTAGTGGTTATTTTTTAGTATAAATAGGTTACTATTGTTCATTCATTAATCATCAATTAAAAGAGTTATTTTTCCTCTCTCTCTCTTCTCAATATATAAATATAATATATAAATATATTATATTTAATATATATTATAGATATATTATATTATATTTAATATATATTATATTAAATATATTATATTTAATATATCTAACAATCTTCAATCGATGCACACACACAGCACCATCCTTGCACAAATCTTGCATTGAACTTCACAACCGATGAGTTTGTCAAATTTCTAAAATAAAATAGCACCAATGAGTTGTGTGCTAGCATGAGGCTATGGGAATTCACGTGAATTGGAAGTACAAAATGAGTTGTAGGTTCCTGAAGTACTGTGCATGGAACCATACATTACGGAGGGATCTGATGCAAGAAATGACAAAGAAGTGGACATGGCTTCGTTTGTTGGAGAAGAAGTCGTACTTGCAATATATTAATTAATTCTACGTAGTGGTTCAATACATTAAGGGTGTGTTTGGTTGGTGGGTTTTGCCCATAAGAATGAGTATGAAAGTGATTGTTGTTGTTTGGTTGATAGGTTTTTAGAACACTACTATGGGTTTCGAATACCCCATCAATTGAAAAATCCATACCTAAATACAATAAGGGTTTCATTCCCTTATTCATTCTCAAGCACTTCTATTAGTAACAATTCCCATTCCACCCTACTACCAAACATGTTAAATATTTTCACCAAAACCCATTACCATTACCAAGTATTTGATACCCATACCGATTCCGATTCCTATGTGCGAACCAAACACACCCTAAGTATGTTTCTCATATTTGTATGACAAACACAAGTTGTATTTGCGTTTGTTGTATGCTAGGTGATTTTTTTTTTCTTTTTGTTTGTTAGAAATTTGACAAACTCGAGTGAGAGTTGCATTTTTTATCAGAAACTCAAAGTTTCAAATGAGTTTTAGTTTTTTTGTCCAAATTTTAAAAGTTGTCCATTTGTGTCTATCCCTCATGAAATTTACATATTTAAGTCAAAACCCCCAACACACCAACAAATGCACACTTGACAACTTCAATTTTGATGCTAAAGGCATGAATCCTCGATCATGATGTTGGACCAGCATATTTCAATTTTGGTGACAAGTATATTTATATATGCATGTAAGATCATATATATTGTTTTACATTCAAAGTAGTCAAAAATATAACAAAATTAGATTAAATTTCTTTCCACTATCGTGACAAAACAAACTAAATTAATAGATACTGCACTTACTAAAATGGTATAAATCACTTATACATCTAGCTTTTGTGCTCTTTACCAATGCAAGATTGAGCAAAATAGAGTAGAGTTACCTTAAAGGAATGTGAACAACAATGAGAAATTTGATCTTCCTTGGAATAATGAGTTCACCTACTTTTTTTTTGAAGGAAAGACACAAATGCATTAATAATCAACCAAGTGGGGAATACAGGTCGGTGGAACAGATAGCCACGACCCTAGGACAGACGGAGAATCTGTTGCCCGAGCTAACACATGAGCCACATTATTCGCTGACCTCTTGATATGGTGAACAGACACGTTCCCAATGTCAGCAGCAATACTACGACATTGCTTAATTAATAAACCAACATAAGAAAGGTCTAAAGAGTTCAAATGAAAACGAGAGCACAAAGTAAGACAGTCTGATTCAATAACTAAATTATTAAAGCCGCTAGACTTTAACCAGGAAAGTGTCTCCTTCACCGCCATGGTCTCTACCAACAAGGGATCACGAACACAATCAATCCGGGCACTGCGAGCTGACAAAACGACCGGTATGATCTCTGATTATCGCACCATACCCAACACCATCCGAGAAGATAGCTGCATCTACATTAACTTGCGGAGGAACCCAAACAGAAGTAATCTGGACAACATTTGTAGTGTTGGCTACCTTTGAATAATTCAAATTCCATAATTCACAGTATGATGCCACCTGTTGCTTAAGCCCAATACTAGAGAAAGTAACCTCCTTCCAAATCAAATTATTCCTTGCATTCCAAATAGCCCACATGCACGCTGCCTCCCCCAAACTAGGACCACAAAGCACCCTATTAAGCATTAAAGCCAGCGATTCATTATTCAAAATAATGCTGCCATTCCATACCTGATTAACCATCGGACACAAACAAAAGTGATGCTCCATGGTCTCACGGTCGTACGTACAGAAAGGACAACCACCACTTGCCCAGACATGTTTAGTTTTTAGAATTTCACGAACGGGAAGAACATTACGCATGCAACGCCAAAGGAAATTTTTAACCTTTGGTAGGATAGGAAGAACCCAAAGTCTTTGCCATTCAGTGAACTGTAAATGAGGATCAACAGTCAAGTAGGAATTTGTGAGCATATGGTAACCGTGCCTTACAGAATATATCCCACGGGAATCTCCTTTCCAGTACCATGTGTCCTTAATGTGAGGAGAGATTGGAGTTGCAAGAATTCGATCAATATCAGCTGGCAGAAATAAGTCTTGTAAGACTTCATGGTCCCAATCACCTGAATCGTTGATCAAGCCATTAACTTTGGCATCACTAAAATTGTCAATAACCGGAGTGACAAGATTCGCATTCATAGGGTCAGCCAGCCATGGTGTCCCCCAGATTTTAGAATCAGCACCATCTCCAATTCTTTTTTTGACCCCCTCACAAGTAGAGTCTGAGCAGCTAGCATACTCCTCCATATATAGCTCGGGTTGGATCCAAGTTGAGCATTTAATAAGTCAGGCCTTCATAATTCTACCCACAAGAGAATCCGGGCAGAGCAGTAAACGCCAGCCCTGCTTAGCCAAAAGAGCGATATTGAAATCATGTAACCGGTGAAATCCTAACCCACCGTGACATTTCGGTAGGCACATACGGGACCAGCTTAACCATGAAATACCTTTACTATTACCACTGCCAGACTCCCACAAATAACGGTTCATCATCCTTTCCAAACTCTCGCAAGTGGTGCTGGGTAACAAATAAATAGACATAGCAAAAACTGGGAGGGCTTGAGCAACACACTTTAATAAAACTTCCTTTCCCGCCCGGGAGATGAACTTGTTACGCCACAAATTTAATCGATCCTGGATTTTTTGCTCAATGAACCGAAAAGTAGCAACCTTATTACGACACAAAAAAGAAGGCAAACCCAAATATTTGCCTAAATCATCCTTTACTTGAACTCCTTGGAAATTTGCAATCAGATTTCTCATATCAGCAGGTGTGCTTGAACTAAACATTATACTGGATTTATCATAATTAATAGCCTGCCCTGAAGCCGCACAATATAAGTCGAGAGAATCCTTGATCACTTGCACCTCACGCTGCGTTGCTTTAAAAAAGAGCAGACTATCGTCCGCGAACAATAGGTGAGAAACCGAAGGTGCACCGCGGGCCACCTTAATCCCATGAATATCACCCCTAGCTTCTGTCCGGTCTAATAAGGTCGAAAGCCCTTCTGCACAGAGGATGAACAAATAAGGAAAAAGGGGATCTCCTTGGCGTATGCCCCTTGTAGGCACGACAGTACCCACCGTGTCACCATTGACTGTGATATTATATCTGATAGTTGTGACACATTTCAGAACGAGGCGAATCCAATTCGAGTGAAATCCAAGAGCCAGTAGCATACCCTCTAGAAACGACCATTCCATCCGATCATACGCTTTAGCCATGTCTAACTTTAGCGCTGCCCAACCCGTAGATCCTTGTCTTGTACATTTCAGGTAATGACCTACTTCACCCGCCACAATAACATTGTCAGTCAAAAGTCTATCCTTAACAAATGCACTTTGGCTCGTAGAGATAACATCATCAAGCACTTCTTTCATACGATTCGCCACCACTTTGGCCATAACCTTATAAGTCACATTACATAAGGCTATAGGCCGAACATCCGACACCTTCACAGGAACTTTCTTTTTTGGTATTAGAACAATATTGGTGTCATTCATTCCTTGGGGCATAGTGCAGCTATTCAAACAATTCAGGACAAAACAAGATAGATCATGTCCAAACACCGACCAGAATCGTTGGTAAAAAGCAGGGGTCATACCATCCGGGGCCATATCAAAAAGTGCAATTTTAATCTCATCAAACGTGAAAGGTCTGAGTAACCGTTCATTCATCACATCAGTCACACGGCTACGCACATTTTGAAAGATAGTTGTAGTGGGAGTGGCGGTTGCAAAAATCTCAGAAAAGTACCTGAGAACTTCCGCATGCATAGCTAAACCATCAACCCAAATACCATCATTGTTCTGGAGTCGCATAAGATGGTTACTACGTTTACGAGCCGTTGCCGACTTATGAAAATATTTCGTGTTACTGTCGCCATGCTTGAGCCACAATTGTTTGAATCTCTGACGCCAAAAAGTTTCCTCCTGCTCTAAGAGGGTCCATAATTCAGCTTCCGCTTCAAGATATTGATTCAAAGCTGCTGGGTTGCGACTCTCACGGATTGTGGCCAGTCTGTTACGTAAGTGAGTAATTCGCTTACCAAAGTGTTTGAAATGTTGGTCACCCCACCGCCATAATTTATCCCCACAATGCATAATCCTTTTTTGAAAATCCAAACCGGCAGAAGCACCCCAAGTATGCTCCACTAAAGGTCTGCAACCTTCATTGTGAAGCCATGCAGCCTCGAAGCGGAATTTACGACGAGAGGAGTGTTGCGGAGTAGCTTCTAATTCCAAGAAAATTGCGCAATGATCTGAAGAGAGAGTAAGAATATTATGAACCACAGCTTCATCAAAAAGATCAGACCATTCTAAAGTTGCAACTGCCCGGTCTAATCGCTCTTCCACCCAGGCGTCTGAACCCCGGCCCCGATCCCATGTGAATCGGTTTCCAAGCATTCCCAAATCCATGAGGTTACAGTCATTTAAAGCATCAGTAAATCCCTGGATAAGGTTATTCGGGTGTGGGTGTATGCCCCTCTTCTCAGAGTGACAAGCCAAATCCTTAAAGAGTTAAAGTCTCCTAATACAATCCAAGGCAAGTCAGACTGTTCTTTTAAGTGGCGCAACAAATTCCAAGACTGAAGTCTTCTCGTTCTTTCGGGATAACCATAGAAACATGTTAGCCTGAATTGTGGCTTGCCAGGTAGAGAAACCGCAACATCAATATAATTCTGAGAAAAACCCAAGAGAGTAGCTACATCCTTATCTCTCCACATCGCTAGGCCACCACCTAAGACCGATCTCTCCACACAAAAAAGACCTTCAAAACCTATTTTTGTACGCAGAAATTCCACTTGCTCTTTCTTCGCCTTAGTCTCCAGAAAAACGAACATGGGTCGTTGTTTGGACACGATCACCTACTTAAAATGGTAGAAATATTGAAATAATTTAAAGATTTATGGTTTGATCTTGATATGCACGAGTGTATGACTAAAATGTAAGACTTTCCCGTATAATATATATTATATATTATGGGTCTTACTTATGTGGTGCAAGTGGACTAGGCCCATTAAGTAATTGGTTGGGTTGGACCTATATAAAGCTTGTATTGATGGGATACAAGATACATGATTATGGTACTCATACTGTTCAGAAAATACCAATACACCATCTAGGGTTTTGAGTACAAAATGACTAACCCTATTCTGCAGATCTACCGTTCAAGAGGCAACACAACAGGATATCAACCATGGATATCAACCATGGCTGAAGATCTACAGTGCTTCCGCTTCCGCTACTACGAGTTAAGTTTCTCGTAGATTATTCTCTGTATAGTTAGATCACATTTAGATCTCACATTTGGTATAAGAGCCTTTATCAATCTCTACCTGGTTGATTGTATTGTCTACAAATCAACATTTTTTCATATACATAAAGATTTTGTATATGATTATTTTGGACTGCTGAAAATTATTATTTTTTTTAGCATTAATCAATTTTTTAATTATTATTATTATTATTTTTTCTTTTCTCGTTTTTTTTTTTCTGCCCACGACGGAGTTTAAAAAAAAAAAAAACAAGAGCTTCAGTTTTTTTCCGGTGGCTTTCCCCTGCGGTCGCCGTTATTGAGCCAAGCTTGCGTCGACGATGAAGATCGTTGGGTGTTGACGATGTGTCTTGGAGTTGCGGACGGTGTCTCAATTAACGAGAACAACAGCGCAATTAACGAGAACAACGGCGCGACATGGATGTCGTCGGCGCTGGTCGTTGTTCTTCAAGCTTTGGGCGACGATGGCGAACCTGGAGTTGTGACGGGGAGAGCCGGCGGAGGCGAGGTTGATTCGCCGGTGACGTCGCTGCATCTCTCCTCCTTCAGGAGTTGCTGGATCCGGGCTGCCGCTGCTTCTCCTCCGGGTTGCTGGTTTTGGGTCGACGACGGCAAGCTTTGGCGTTGCAGCGAGGTGTTCCGGCGAAGGCAGGCTTGGCTTCCCGGCGAGAACGTAGCTGCTTTCCCTCACCGTTCAGGCGACACTACTGCCTTAGTGCCGGCCGGAGATGCTATGCAAGAAGACGAAGGAGTACTGACGGTACCTTCTTTAGCAATTTACCTTTATTATATTTACCATATATTTATTTGTCTTAAATTAATTTTACTTATTAAATTTTGGTAAATGAAAATAATGTGGTTTAAATATAATATTTAATATTGTATATTATTTTTGGCAAATGGTAAATATATGATAATTGCTTGTTTTTGGAATATTGATGCCATTTAAGTTCTTAATTTATTTTTTTGGCATTAACTTAATAATTCAATATTATTTAATTTTGGACAAATATTAAGTTTCTTAAATTTGCTATTTGAATTTTAATTTAATATTAAGGTGCATATTTAATTGCCTAAAGTATTGCAATTCATTTAGGATTTATGAGTTAATATGCAAAATTCAAGCATGCTTTGTATATTCATAAATTATTTTATTATAATTGTACATTTAGAAAAGCATATTTTAAGGATGGATTTAACATATTATTAACTCATAGACTATGTATTAAAATATCATTCAACTTAGATCCTTAGGCCAATTTTATTCATGATGGCCTACTAAAGTCGCTTGTTTTGGTTTCCCATTTAATTTTGGGCATATTTTAGTTCTATATTTTACTTGGGACTTTAAACCATATTTTGAACAAGCTATTTGGGACCTATATTGGGTCATTAAAGTTTGGATCCCACCATTATTGAGTGATATTTTAATGTTAGTTATAGCTATTTTAGTTTGACTTATAACATGTTTATTATGGTAATAATATTGATTATTATGCATAACATGTTCACTAAGTCTTAATTATTACTGACTACCATATTTTGGTAATGATATTCATTGTTGGTAATAATATTATGTTTGGATATATTTCAGTACAAGACCATTTTATATTCATGTCATAACTCACTTAGACCATTGAGTTTATGGGTCTAATTTGAGTGATTAAGCGCTATAATTATTGTTTGGGCTTATTTTGAGCCATTAAGGTTTAAATTATTATTTTGGCCATTAAGAATTACAACTATTGTTTAAGTTGATTATATTTTTTTTAATCTATCAATAGTTTTCAAGGCCTTAATAATAATATTAATTCCTTTAATGATATAGTAAGCAATATAGTTGGTATATTGCCTTTACAAT